TGAAGTAGTTGGTAGTCTCCGCCGGTTAATTTTCGTTCCATCAGAAACGGTTAATTTTCGTCCTGGATCCCACCTCCCGCAACCCAGCGATTCTCCTTTTCCGCCCTCAAAACCGACAAAAAAACGGTATGCTATCCCGAGGTCCGTTGTGAAACACTATGGTTCGTCCTAAAAAAATAAATCTGCGACGGTTAACATACGAAGAAAGACCTACGCCACGACCGCCGCCCGCGGGTCGCCCGCTCCCTCGCGCCCCTGTTGCTCCCTCCTCGATCCCGATCTGGATCGAGGGGACGAGGAGCTCCTGCCTCCCCGACGGCCGGCCTCCTCCTCGCCCCGCTGCTGCGTCCGGCGCCGCCACGGCCTCTGGAGCCAGGGAAGCCATGGCCTGAGTGCGGCCTCGAGGTCCCCGCCGCCGTCTCCTGCAGCTTCTGCCCCGCCGCCTCACCGCCCAAGCTCGCCGTCGCACCAACCTCGGCGCCGCGCCGCCGCCGGCTCTGGTCGCCTCCACCTCCGCTCCAGTGCTTAAGGATGGAGGAGAACGGCCTGAAGTTCGTGCTCGATCTGGTGGTCAGGTAAGCTCTTTTTGTCCGCCACCCCTCTATTGATTTTTACAAACCTTTCCTTGAAATCCGGTGCCCGCAGGTTCCCACTTCGGCAAGAGTTCGCCGATGACCTTAAGCACTCCGATCCGGTGCCGCTAAGGCTGCCACCCAGGGGGAGGCTGGCGCTCTTGGCACGGAGGATTCAATTGGTGAATCTGGCTGCACCCTGAGGTTAATCGGGAGGCACCTGGATGGACGAAAAGGTGAGCCGTCTCGTCCCCGTGGTCTGATTGTATATTTAATTTGAGCGCATTTATAGACAGCTATTTAAGTTCAAGGACTCTTGATGGTGATTCGCCAAACAATATATTTAGTTAATTTGAAATCATGGGAGCAGGAATTTGGTTTCGGCGTGTTTCAGGTAGTTAGATGTCGTAAGGTGTTTAGAATTTCAGATAAGAGAAACGTTGCGAACCAGGCTGCATATCAGGAGTCCGTGGATTAAATGTTTTGACAAACCAGTTCATAATTTCCTGAGAAAACACTACTATCTGCAACACACCACCGGACAGAACTCTGTGCTTCACGGATGAGCACACTGGAGCAATCGATAAGGAAGTTTGCCGAGGAACCGACGAATAGTATGATTAAACCAGAAATAGGAACAAGTTTCGATTCGTTGGGCGAGGCATATGACTTCTACAACCTGTATTCATGGGAAGTTGGATTCGGTATTAGATATGGGGAAAGCCGACTAAATGCAGAAGATAGAGTGCAATTGTTCACTAAGTTCTGTGGTACGAGATACTATATGTGGTTTTTTTTTTTTGCAGTTTTGGTTTGAAAAAAGGCATCATGGAGTGAGCTGATGTGCCATCACTTTTTTTTGAATTTTTTCAGGGAAAGCCTAAGGCCGAGAATAGCCGATCATGCATGTATGAGTGTCCCGCGCTGATCAGGTTGCTACATGCAGCTAATAAATAGTTGGTTCATAACTGAGCACATAAAGAATCACAACCATTTGATGTTCGTTACACTCAGGGAGAAGGTTCATTGGCACATAGACTTCTGTGTTAACAGGGCGACAACGTCAAGGATGGCATCTGCGAGAACTCTTTTGTGTTAGATAAATTGATGATTATGTCTGGATCTCCGGGGGCAGACACTATCATACTGAAGCTCAGCCGGACCACGACTGTCAACAGGGTCACCGTATTCTTTGAGGAACACAAACAATCCAGGTATGCATTGCTAACTTTTCTGAACTTTTACATGCTTCAGGCTCACTCCTTGACAACACTTAGCTATCATAAGGATGAGGACGGAGCACAACTCTCTCAATTCCCAAAATGAGGTGGACAACACTTAGCTTACATGTTCTTTGAGGACGGAGGAAGTTTCGCCTTAAACACAACTTTTATCTGCTCTGAAAGAGTTACATATTTTGAAGTTTTTGCAACTCAGCCTAAAAGAGTTGGGTAACCAAACTCAAAATGAGGTGGACAGTGCTCAGCGTGCAGTCACATGGAGTATTAGTTTCATGGGTTAATTTAGCACTGCATATTATTAATTGTGTTTCTATTTTTGTTTCTCTCCAGCAAGCATGACAATAACAAGTTTATATCCATCAGTTTCTTAGTACCCTGTTGGTTTCAGTATTAAATGGCCACAACACTTTCCTATTTTGTTTGAGTTTTCATGTGCTACTCTATTAGGAATAACAACTAAAAACAATGAACGTTTGATTTGATTTCCTTCCCAACACAAGCAACAAATATAATAAATGTCTCGCATCCTTGACTCCAGCAAAAAATTCATTGACTGACATAATGGATCTGTCTATTAATCAAGATTGTATTACTAAACCTCCAGATTGATTATTTTTAGTTATGCAGCACACAGTATTCTCCCCAGTTCTGCTCGATTGGATTGTCAGTTCATGTACTCTGGTAAATCATTATGGAAACTTTGATTATAAGAAACTAATTTGTGTTCCTGTGGGTTTATCTATGCTCCTTTGTCGTTGATGCGCCTATGTTACTGTAATTATTTAGTTCCTCCGCTTCTAGGATGATCTCGGGTTTAGTAGTGATATAAAAAAGCTGTACATTTCTGCGTTTCCTCTGCTATTGTATTGTTTCATCACTTTCTGCTCCTTATGGGCTGCCACTCTTTGACACCCTTTTTGTGCTCAAACATTTTTCGATGTCCCTTGCAGGATCCAAATGAGCTTGGTTACGTACTAAATTATTGTTGAGGATCTCAGGTAATCGTTGCAGTAGAAGATTACGCCCCTGATCATCATTCTCATTTTCAAACTTGCCATTTATCAGAGGTGATTTCTCTTGCCCCTTTCATTGGTTAATTCCGTTTGTTTGGTGGACTGATTCACCACTTGAGTGGATCACCGAGGACTTCTACAATGGGCTATGTTCTTCTTACATATGTAGGATTTGGATGGGGTGCATTCATGCATTATATTGGAGCAAGGACCTGCCGAGGAGGGGGATACCATGGGGAGGCGAACCTGGTAAAATAGGGGTGGAAAGTATACTATAGGTATGTTAGCCGTGGCAAGGAATTGGTGGATGTTTTCCATTCAGTTGTGTTCAACACTGAAAAATGGTATATCATTTTTTGTCCTTTCCAAATTAAAATATCAATCCATAATTTTTTTGTCATTCACAAATTAAATTATCAGTGTAGAAGTCTATTTGAGCATTCATTTCCTATCCTTTTATAAACTAGAAGGCCACGCTAGGTTTCTTAGTGTAGTATTTGGAATGTTTGACCCTGAACTGGCCCTCTGTTCCAACTAACGAAAAAATGACCCTTTGTTGTGATTTTATTTTTTATATGTAAAATGATATTTGTAAAATTTTGTATTCGGTCTGCCATTTGCCAGTGAATTAGGGCTGCATTTTAGATTAGAACCATGAAGTAACTATGATGTGCACCGCTTGGAACCAGAGTGAGTCTAATGAAAGACGGGCATTTGATCATGTTCTATTTAATTATCATTTCGTTCGTTTCGTCGTTCCATCCCTCCCTGAACTGACCTTACCCACAACTCTTACCTTTTCATTTCATTTTATCAAGGAAAGACTGTGGGGTTTGTGTATCCTTATCCAGGACATTGTGTAGGCTTCTGATGCAGTTTACAAGAAGCAATTGGTGAGCTAATTCAGAGGTTAGGCAACGCTTGTCATGATTTTTTATTTCTGAAGCCACATTAGCAAGCATCATAAATATAACTAAATGTTTGCTGGCTT